TATGAATGTGGAGACTGAGGTCTATGAGTAATAATCTATGTAACTGTATAAAGTTATGACAGGAGTGATAGCCAAGCTGAAAATCCTTGATTAAAAACAAACAATTGCTTCATTCTAGTTATCTATTTTCAAAAACTTACCTATTCCTTCTATCCTATCCTTCCTTCTATGCAAGCTAATACATCTTAAACAGCCAAATCTTATAAGTCCTTAAATGAATCAATCTGAAGAGACTATTGGGGTCTGGGGTGTCTTTGGGGAAACAGTATAGACTGGCAACAGTTGGACTATTTCTACCCTTATTTATTTTTATGTATTTATATTTAAAATTTAGAAACCTCCCATCTTCTTTGTGTTTCCCCAGGGAGCTTTTTGTTACAAAACACCAATCAACTTATTTACTTACTTATTTTATCAAATTTATGTAACCGCCTATCTTACAGCAAAAGACTTTGGCTGTCAGGTAGTCAATAAATACTAAACAATCAATATTATAATTCTTAATTTTACAAAAAAAACAAACTAAAAAAGAAAGAATATTACACAATGAGATGTTGCCAATATTGAATCCCTCTTAGTTACTCTCCTGATGGCACAATTAGGGTTTACGAAACCTTCAGAAAGTCAAAGTGATGAAACAAGCCTTACATTAGGGGAAAGACATTCCATAGATCGGATGTCACAGCAGAGAAGGCCCACCTCCTATGGCCCAACAATTGTAGTTGCCTTGCCCATGGGACCCATAGCACGCTACCTCTGCTGGATTTGGTAGGATGTATTGGGAGAGGCAGCCCCTCAAATATATGTCCCCATGCCAGGTAGGGCTTTAAAGGTCAAAACTAGCAACTCGTAGTTAAATGCAATGTCCCATGATTGACATTTTCTTCTTTTTGCTGGCTTTGTCCATTGACTTTCTTTGTTGGAAGGATTGTTGGGAGGAACAGGCTGAAGCAGGCCAGGGCCCTTCAAGTTTGGAACAGGGAAGGCAGAGCTCAGGCGAGGAGCAAGGCCCCTCCCCACCAGATCCCAGAGCAAGGAGAGCAGAGAGGAGGAGGGAACAACGGAGGCAGGCTCACTTGCTCGGGAAGAGAGCATCACGCCCTACTTCACAAGGCACACCTGGGGAGTAGGCATTTAAGGAGACGCTGTGGGGTGGGGCATTTGCAGGGAACAAACGTGAACTCTTGTGATGTGAGCTCTTGTACCTGGACTCTTTGTATTTCGGATCAAGTTTGTTTCCTGCTGAGTTTTCCTTGCTGTCTTCAGTTTTGCAGTTTGCAGGTTACAGGCAAGCTGGGCGGTGAAAAGATCATACTTTGTTTGTTATCTGTTTTACTTTAATGAACTGTTTAACTCCGTTGACTGTTTTATTGAACTTGTGCCAGCATATGTGGGGGCTGTTGGGTGAACGTTGGCAGTGCTTACAAAGACAATTATTCTGACCAGCTAATTGCTTTGCCTCCGATCGGGGCCCTGGGTCAACACATCATCGCAAGCCAATCTCCAAATACTTGGATCACAACCATGTGACCATGGGAACACTACAATAGCTAGAACTCTTTCAGCGCTGTTGTAAGTTGAAATTGTTGCGGATTGGTTGTTAAATAAGGACCACTCATGTCTGTCATTTGGAGATGATAAAACTCTTAATTTTATTCTATGTGTAGTCTCTCTGGACATTTCCCTTGTTATCCTTTCTCAAAGCTAGACATGCCCAGTTCCTTCAGTCTTTCCATGAAAGACTTTTAATTTCCTTGTAAGGTATGTGCCCCTTTTAGCTTTTCTAAATTTTAAAATAATTTTGCTATTGAATGTTATCAAAAAAAATTCCCAACTCCCAGCATTCTTCACTGCATGTCTCTGTGCTTGTTCAGTTTTCTGAAGACAGCCTAACCAATAAAGAATTTAGAGGAACTATTATTTCCCACAATTTGGAAATTATCCTTCTGTTGATGCAGCTCTTTCCTTTTTCAGTAGTCATTTCACACTGCTGACTCATATTCAGTTTGCAAAAGACTACTCTTAACAAGCCACATATTCTCCATTCTGTATTGTGGCATTTGATATTTTTCCCAATTAAAAACTTTGCATGTCTGAGTTAAATTTCATTGTTGTTTTAAATCCAGTTCTCTAATCTCTCAACACAATTTTTGCTTCTGTCTCCTAGATGTCCTCTTGGTCTTACAGCAGATGCTAGTACAGCAGGTGAAGACCATAGCAAGGACCCACCTTTGTCAGTGCCACCTGTTGTATCAATTACCACCTTTCCTGGATCAGCTAGCAGAGCAAAAGTAATCCATTTCATATGATCTACCAGGTGACACCCTTGAAAAGATCTCATATCTAGGTAGCAGGGCAATTTGTTTGTTGATAGGTGGTAGCTAGTACAGAATTGACATAGATGAATATAGTATAGTATAGTATAGTATAGTATAGTATAGTATAGTATAGTATAGTATAGTATAGTATAGTATAGTATAGTATAGTATAGTATAGTATAGTATAGTATAGTATAGTATAGTATAGTATAGTATAGTATAGGAAGGGACCTTGGAGGTCTTCTAGTCCAACCCCCTGCTCAGGCAGGAAACCCTATACCATTTCAGACAAATGGTTGTCAAATCTCTTCTTAAAAACTTCCAGTGTTGCAGCATCCACAACTTCTGGATGCAAGTGGTTCCACTGATTAATTGTTCTGTCAGGAAATTTCTCCTTAGCTGTAGGTTGCTTCTCTCCTTGATTAGTTTCTATCCATTGCTTCTTGTCCTGCCTTCAGGTGCTTTGGAGAATACCTTGACTCCTTCTTTTTTATGGAACACTGCTATCATGTCATTAGTCCTTCTTTACATTAAACTAGACATACCCAATTCCAGCAACCGTTCTTTATGTTTTAGGGTCCAGTCCTGTTCATCTTTGTTGCTCTTCTCTGCACTCTTTCTAGAGTCTCAACATCTTTTTTACATCGTGGTAACCAAAACTGGATGCTGTATTCCAAGTGTGGCCTCTGGATGCAGTATTCCAAGTGGCAACAGCTGCTGGTTCCAAGTGGTTATCATCGCCTATAAAAACTCATTATACTCCCAGTCTTTGTTGTCTTCAGAACCATCTGCTTCAAGTAGAATCTGCCCATCTAATATACACTGGCTGAGAGAGGTGGCTATGGTTGCCACCCCATAAAGGCTGAGTCCATAGGCTCAGAGGCAGATCTTGTTGGACAGTCCTTTGCTCTGGACTACATTTTCCTCTTGAGGATATGAGGATTTCCTCCAGGCTAGTATTTATAGGTAATAAATTAATAAATGAACATCATCCATATTTCCCTTCTTTATCTATCAATCTGAAAAGCATTCCCTCCATCTCTTCATCCAAGTCCTGAAAGACAATTTTGGGCTCAGGACTGAATTCTATGGTAGTCCATTTGACATCTCTCTCCAGTTTCATGAGGACTCATTGCTGAACACATGTTAAGTATGGTTTAATCTAAGGTATGGCACTAAGTCCATGTTTAACCAGTATGACACATAGCATCTTTCAGGTGTGGAGAGAGCTTGGTTAATAAATATATGAAGTAAGCAGATTATGCAGAGAGTAGTGGTAACTAGATAGCCTTCAAGACATCTTCTGAAATAACCTCATGAGTTGGCAAATCACCTTAGTCATAAGCTGATCAGAATGAGTCCTTATTTGCAAGTAAATTATGTCTATACAGAATGCAGCTACTATGATGAACGAGCAACTTGCAGGTGACATGGTGTAATCTTATTTATTCTTTATTAAGTATATGCATATTAATTAAATATGCCTATTGGGATTTTTTTTTTTTATAAAAAAACTATGTGTATATTTTTTGCTCTTCTCTTTATCCTACTGGCTGTTGCCCATTAGGGAGAAGTTTTCAATGATCATTGTTCTTTTATAAATAAACGTAGACCTTAACCCTTTCTAGTGTTTGGTTGTTTCATTTGAGAAAAAAGGGACATCTCAAACTAAACCAGGTTTGCTGATCAGATTATAAAGGGAGACATTGGTTTTCTATAAAAACTCACGTAAGGGTGACCTAAATCTTTTGCTTGTGCTCATTACCAACATTTATACAGTACACCTGCAGACTAAATTTAAACAGCGCTGCTCCTACATAATCTGATTGAGTTAGTACATTTCTAAGATTGGGCTAGAGTATATTACTGAAAAATAGCATAGACAAAACATTGGTTTCCTTTAATTACATTTATATATTACTATAAATACATTGACAATGTAAAGCATTTGTCAAAACAGTCATATGCAGTTCTGATCAATGAGTTGGTAAATTCACATGTCTAAAAAGGGTTTTCCCCCAAACAAATCAGTTTCCTAAATTAGATTGTCTAAGAAGTGATGATCTAATTCAGAGATCAAATTGGTTTGAAATTCTGAATCAGACTTTTAATTAGATTGACTAGAACCACAGGCTCTGACAAATTTTAGAGTGAAAAATAAATGTATGTGCCTTCTGTGTTTTTGTCTTCTCAAAAACAACTGTCTGAATCAATAAGAGTGTACCCCAATGAAGAGATCCAATGCTAGCACAACGTAGTTTGACTTTGATGGTTTTCCAGAGAACTATGATGTCATTCTGTGTATATCTAAAATATTTGTTAGGCTGGGGTTTAGGGGAAGAGGAATAAAAATACTGAA